CATTAGGACCCATAATCCTCATAGAACAATCCCTGACGTCTGTAAGCTACTTGAACATAGTTGCAGACCAGGTTCACCCATTCATGGCAACAGTTTTTCCAGTGGGGGATGGCGTCTGCCAACAGGATAATGCACCATGTCATAAGGGTCGAATCGTCATGGATTGGTTCGAGGAACATTCCAGTTACTTTCAAGTCTTGTCTTGACCCCCAAATTCACCTGACCTTAACGCAATAGAGCATTTGTGGTCCGACTTGGAAAGCCAAATTCGTGCTGCCACGCTACCCCCTCGCAATGTGAGGGAATTTCAGGACCAGTTGGTGAGCGCTTGGTACCAGATACCATCAGCACCTTGAGGAATCAGTGCCATGGCGGGTGCTAGCAGTTTTAAGGGCTAAAGGTGGTCCTACATGTTATTAGCAGGGTAGTCATAATGTAATGGCTCTTCGGTGTAAATATATGCACACATATATATGCACATATACGCATATATATAATCTTGTTACTTTTAATTTTTTTTTTGTATAATATGTTATTCTTTTTTAAACCAGAACTATCTTGTGGCAATTGTGATACCAGATCAGAATGTGGTCATGTCCTGGTGTGAAAATAACTTAGCCATCAATTCGTGGGAAGAAGTTTGCAATGAACTGGTAATGTCTAATGCTATCTATCCACCGTAAGAAGACAATTGATCTTGGGAGGGTTTATTTCAAGGAAAGTTTGCTGAGAATCACAATCGACGCTAAGCTATTTTTTTGGGCTACTATAAACTCTTATTTTAACTGATGAACATGTTCCATGATTTTCCCCTTCAATCTTTTTCTTACGGTGGACTGACTATACTTGATGTATATAAATATATTTATGAGTTAAATGAGTTTAACAGGTTTTTTTTTAGTTTCGTTTTTACTTTAGAAACTCTAAAATGATTAATTTAGAAACTTTTAGAAAAATATTTACATTTAGAAATAGTTTAAAGTGGGTTTTATAATGGGTTTCCAGGACCCGCGCAGAGAATTTCAAGTTATTAGCCACTAAATTAGCGAAATATCAAAAGTATTCTCCAAATGCAAATCTTAACAATTTTTTACGATTAAATTTTCTCCCCATAGAAAACAATTTATTTGTTTACGACTTACATTATCTGGACCCAATTCTAATTGGCTTTAGAAAATTACTGTTATCGAATAAAAAATACAGATTTGTTTAGAAAAATACATTTTGACATACTTTTGTGGATCGAGTGAAATGTATATTTTTCTTTCCAGTGGAAAAAATCATTCGCTTATACTTTCGCCAAAACACAGTTTTATTCGCCAAATTTGCGATTTTATCGCATTGGCGAGGTGGCAAAAGCTAAGCGTGGGCCCTGTGTTCTAATACTTCAGTGTGGAGTATAATAGGCTGTATTTACAAAACAGCCAATTTTGCACAATTTAATGATAAACTTCTTATATACTTTACATTAACTTTTATAATATACTTTAAATGCACTTTGGATATACTCTGTACTATAAATATACTTTAGATAACTTTCTTATACCACTTAATAATATTCTCGAAATAAAATTCTATCACCTCCAGTACTCCCCTTACTGTACTTTTGATATTAATGCATGCTACATTTTATTTTCATTTCACTTCGTTTTTCTTTTTAAACTGTTTTAAAAGTCTAATTTTGATTTTTTTAATTTTATCTTATCTTATATGATTAATAAGCACAAAATTTTATCTCATCTTATATGACTTTGTATGTCTTTTCAGGTTGTTCAAAAATTGATTTTGGATGATATGACGCGACTAGGCAAAGAAGCTGGACTTATGTCTTTCGAACAGGTAAAAAAAGTATCAATATTTTATTTCGTTTTGTGAATTAATTGGCTATACGGCGATCAAATTAAGATCACAAAAAAGTATATCAGAGGAGAGAATAGTTTTGTCGCCAATCTCAGAGTTCCGAGACTGGTGGATGTGTCTAAAGAGTGGAATGTTGTACTTTGAAACAATTTCAACTTTTTATTTTTTTATAATTCAAATAGCTTGCACATATTGTGGGATAAACATTATGTGGCTTGTTTATTAATATACTTCTTTTTGGCGAAATAATTCTGTCCCACACTTCAGATTTCTTTTTTCTGCGACGAAATTGAACCTTTTTTTCAATTGCACATTGTGCTGCACACTTCGTCTGGCTGTTAAAACAGAAATGTAGTTAGGTTGCTAGGTACTTTATTTACGTCGCACTAGAGCTGCACAATGGGCTATTGGCGAAGGTCTGGGAAACATCCCTGAGGATGATCCGAAGACATGACATCTTAATTTTCATCCCCTGCAAAGAGGATGGCTTCTCCGGTTTGGTAGTCCAACGGCCTGCGCACGAAGTCGAGCACTTTACGGTAGAACAGTTTAATAAGGACCGATATCGTGCACACTCGGTCCCTACGCAGTATGATCCAAGTGGTCACCCACCCACTTACTGACCGCAGCCAATTATGCTTGACTTCGATGTTCTACTGAAAACCCATGTCTTAACGATCAGTCTACTGCACATAAATAAAAAAAAGACGTTTGTGTTTCGTATCACAAAAATGAAAAATAAAAACGTTTGTGTTTAGTATCACAAAAATGAAAAGAAAAACGCTTGTGTTTCGTATCACAGAAATAAAAAAATAAAACAACTTGTCAGCGCAAGGGCGTCTCACGGTGGACTGATCATTAAGACTCGACTTCCAGTAGAACACCGAGCATCACTGGCTGCGATCAATGAGCGGGTGGGTAACCACCTGGATCAGTCTGTGAAGAAATCGAGGGTATGCGGTATTGGTCCTCCTTGTTCTACCGTAAAGTGCTCGACTTCGCACGCAGGTCGTTAGGCTGCTGAAGTGGGGGGTGCCATTCCCTCTCCAGAGGATCGAAATTGTGATGGCATGTCTGCGGATCATTTTCAGACATGTTTCCCTGGCCATCGTCAATAGCCCATTGTGCAGCTCTAGTGCGACGTAAATGAACTAAAATTTGCCAGCGCAAGGAATAGATCTAAGTTTACGTTTGTTTTTGTATCCAAAAGTACTATTATTAAAATTAACTTTTTTTCATGAAAATGTTAGATTATGTTAGACTAAATAACAAATCCATTTTTAATATAAAAATTTAAGAGGTCAATGTTAAAAGGGGGTATGTTACAAGTCTGGGCTTTCGAAAAAAGCCAAAGAAACTGTGTTTATTCTGGAAAGATCGTTTTAATTGTTTCCAAATTGTTGGATTCTCTTCTTTAAGCAGTTTAAAATATTACTCGGTAATTGTTAATCGGATATGCCAAAAGCAGCAAAAAAACTTAGTTTTCTAAAAATGTTACGTACCCCTTTTTATTGACCGCTTCAATTCATCCCAGTACTCATTTTTATCAAGTCTTATTGACTA